TACTTCAGTAATATCGTCACGCTCAAGCCTTCAATATTAAGTTTTTCTTCTAGGTAAGAAACCCCAAAAAGAAAATGCTGATATCATGGACGATGTATGTTATCTACAAACAGATCAAAATTATTTCCTAGAACAGCTAGCATCTGCTATTTATCACACAGATATAAGTTCTACAACTGTGCTAATAGCAAAGGCGGTAACTTCTAGGAAGTCAGAGCTATTACAGAAAATTGATAAAAACGGAAGGATCGAGATATCTGACAAGCTGAACAGATGATATTATGAATGAAAAACATATATAAAAATTTAATTCTCAGACATCTCTATAAGCTCATTGGTGCTTTTTGCCCAAGGCTGTACAACATTATGCTGCAATAATCAGGATCCATTACTTATGTTAATAATTATACCTCATTGGAGCTTCGATTAAAATCAAGAAAAATTATTAGTGCGTAAGCATGTAGGCTGAAAAATAGGTGAATTCCCATCTAGAATTGATTATACTTCAAAGTTCTTCAGTCTTTTGATGGCAGCCCCATAAGGATTCATGACTCGGGTATAATTTAGCTATATATATATATCATTTAGGAGAAAATAAAAAAATTATATTAATATTGACAAGATAGCTTTCGAAGTCTGTAAATGATTATAAATGAATGAATATGCTGAAATGGGAAATAGTGTCGAGAAATGAGACTAATTAGTGCCGAAGTGAGCATTGTTTTTAGACAAATGAGCAGAGTGAAGTAAAGTGTAATGATATTATAAAGGATAGGCTCTACCGTATAGCGAAGTCGACTGAAAATGACTCCTGGCTTTATAGGGCAGACAGAAGACGGGCTAACGCCCAACAGATAGGCCGATGGAACTAAAGGAGTCTCCACCACAGCGCGAGAGCCGAAGTGTTGAGAAGCTTTTAAATGACGAGTATGACCGGGCTGACTTTCAGGTAGGAGATTGCTGTGTCCACTAGTCGATGATCTATTGGCATCAATGTCCCAGATTCGAAGGCGGCCGTCTATGCCAGTAGTCGCCAACACGCTTCGAGAAGACGGTGACCAATCCATATCGAGTGAATCTACCTGCTGGCTTATTACTTGCAGTTCTGAATTGGTTGACTGCATCAGGGATGAAAATAATGCAAATATTAAATGAAATAGTTTAAAATTAAAATAAAGAAGAAAATAATACTAACGTGCTGTCAATCTTATAAGAGGGACTTATTACATTAAACTGCAATATAATTTTGTCGCATTTGTGAATATCCTCTTAGTAATTCAGTGAAAAAAATATTTGCAAATAAGGGTTCATGCTTGGAAATACTTTGTGGATGTAAGACAGAACCTGAAATCTTAGATAAGCCTTAAAACTACAAATGCTTGAACTAGATTACTCCCTTGACAACAACTACTGTCTATAATTTTGTTGAAATAGAC